TTGGCAGTAAAATAGCATGAAATTACAACCAAAAAACATGAAATATAATATCAAATTGTACTTTAACCCTCCCACCAGAGAGTACATCCTGCACACACCCACTAGTTCAGAACAAATACAGGTCATCCTCTGAACATCCGATCCAACTGCACGACTGCTCTTGTTTTATCTTATTCAAGTATTTCACATATTGGGTGCGGTCATCAAAATGGGATTATGGGCTTGTTTGTTGCCACCATAACAAAACTCAGTGAATGTGAAGGCTTTTGTATTCACTTCCTGTGGGGAGCCCAGCTGACTGAAGCACACATGCTGCCTAGCAAGCCAAGCTTTTTGTTTGGGACTTTCCATTTAAGGAATTGAATAAAACATTACACTCACTTGTGGGTTTTTAAGGATGCAAGAGATCTAAATGTTTCTTCGTGTCTCTCCACTTTGAGTTGTAAGTTTCTTTTAGATATTTACGAGGTGTTTCATTCAGGTCGGATTCACTTTTACAGTCAGTAGGAGTCGGTGAAGCTGTCAAGCAAAGTGTGGGCTAAAGTTTCTGTCTACGACATCAAAACCTACTAAAACAAAATCCATTGTGTTTGCAGGGGAAGCCTAAGAGGGTTGTTTTCTAAAAGCTGTATGATTTGAGGAAAATAGCTAACATCTGTAATTTATTGTATTAAATGAGACTCCTAAAACCCAGAAATAAGTCGGCATTATACCATTTAAGACCCTTACTAGAGTTGTCCTTTCACGTAAGTAAAATGCGTCTAAGTTATCCATTATCGTTCTGTTCCGTCCGGAATTTTGAAACATATTATGATACAACCTGGTATTCATCCAAACACGTTACTAACTACGATTAAAAACATTCAAATCGGTATGAAACGAAGTCGTCCATTAGACGGTGTATATTTTGTAAAGATTAATTAACTCCGGTATTACGTAGAGGTCTTTCATTTTCAATCCGGCGATATTCCTTGGGTTGTGACGGTTTACTGAAGTCGAGTGGGGCATTCGATTTCCACCCGATTCCAACCGATATTTCCTTGATGTCGGGCCAGTGTACTGAGGTGCCAGTGGTGGTGATTCGATTTCCGCCGATTACCAAAAACCGATATTCCTTGATGTCGTGCGGCAGTGTACTGAAGGTTTTGTGGTGGCCGATTCGAATTTCCATCGATTACAACCCCCGATATTTTCCTTGATGACGTGCCAGTACTTGAAGTGCAGAGGTGCGATTATTCCACCGATTACAACCCGACCACTTTCGCTTGAGGTCGTGCCAGTACTGAATGCAGGTGGTGGTGATTCGATTCTGCCGGGATTGCAACCCCGATATTTCCTTGATGTCGTGCCAGGTACTGAAGTTTAGGAGGCGGATTCGATGCCTCTTCCGATCGGATGTACACCCGATATTCATTGATGACGGTCGAGTGTACTGAGTGCAGCAGTGCGATCGATTTCCACGATTACAACCCGACTCTCCGCTTGATGGTCGTGCCAGTGTACTGAAGCTGTCTAATGGTGCGGATCGATTCCCACCCGATTACAACCCATTATATGTCCGTCATGACGGTGCCAGTGTACTAAGGTCAGAGGTGGCCGATCGATTTCCACGGATTACAACGCCGATATTTCCCTTGATGGTCGGTGCAAGTGTCACTGAAGTGGCACATGGTGGCGACTTCATTTGCCCGCCACCCTTTTCAAGTCACATTACGACAATCAGCAAAGTCGAAATCCTGAACAATCGTTGGCGGTAGACCAAATTGGGTGGTCCCAACCCCCTAAATGACCGTAAAAATACACCCACTTTGTTGTACACAAGTCGAAACAATTGGTGTCTGGAATAAACTTCGGAAATTTCTGGGCGCTATAAGTCATTTGGACAACATGGAGGCGGCCCAATGA